AGGAAGAATAAGTGTTGGCCTGTGTTGTGCCCAGTGTGAGTAATAAAAGAAGTACCCTCTACATGACGTGTCGCGGAAGTTGCTCATTACATTTGAGTCAGAAGTGGTTGAAAACATAGTTTAGTGCTAGACAGCGAAGAAGGAAGTATGTCAAAGCATCAGAGAAATGGAACCCACCTGTGGCATCTTCCGACGACGATGAAAATGCGACCAAAGACCTCCTACCAGCCCCGGGAACCGCGGTCCCGGTTATTGAAGCTGCAGCGAGTGAGTTGGCTGCGCCAGAGACGGTGGAACCGGGAGCAGCCACTCTGCACCAGCAGCCCAAAGACGGCTGGTGGATGGTGTCAGTGCAGCTGGACCTGTTGCATGCAGTTGTCGTGCAATTGGTGACGCTCGTGACAGAAGCTACGATAGCGGGTCGTGCTGCACTGACATCGCCGGGAAGGAACGACCAGGAGCCGGGAGTTGACGTTCTGGCGGGAACGTCCCCAAACGCAACGGCCGCCATCACACGTGGCGGGGAGAACGCGCAGCCGGAGGTCGCCATCATGACCGGCACGGGGGAGGCGCGGATAGAGTCCGCCATTTTACAAAACAAGCGTGATACGCAAGACGCAGGACTCGCTGCTAGAAATGGGGAAAGAGGAACCGAACGTGATTGCAGATTACCTCAGGTTAAATAATGCATCGTGGCAGGAGACGATTGGAGTGCCTTCACTTGGCGATTTGAAGCGGCTTTCTGATCAGTCCATTGGACAGAGATGAGGCACTGAGGGCTCTGCCGACTGTACTGGACTTCGACACTCTTGCTGTTTTCAGGGCTATTCCCACTGCTAAGAAGGCTACACTTCAAGGTGCTCATGCTGAGATGGCGGTAAATACATCCAGCATCATCGGGCAATTCGCCAGAAACGTCGTACTCAAACTGTAAATGTGGATTCACTCTTCAACACACCGGTGGGCTAAAGTAGTGAATTATTTGTCTTTTTATCAACTTGACACTTTTTTTGCTGATTGGCCGTGTCGGGTGGTGGAGGGTTACGACACATTTATAAATAAACGCGATCTAACCCAAAAACCTTTATTATGAATACTACCACAGGTTCGTTCTGAAATTTGCCACGGTTGCTAAGCCCTTGCACGCCTTGATGGCTAAAAACCAGAGGTTCCAATGAGGAGTGGAAGAAGAGGCTGCATTTTCAGCCCTTCGTGAGTGGTTGTCCGATGCGCCCCCACTCGAGTACCCTGATTTCGCCCTGCCATGTATTCGTGACAGATGCTAGCAATACGAGCATAGGCGCCGTCCTGTCCCAGGTTAAGGGGTGGAAAAAGTAGTCGCGTCCAGTCCCCCGCAGAATGGCGAAAATGTGTTACTCGCAGAGAGCGGTTGGCCATGGTTTATTTCGTACAACAATATAGGCCTTACCTCTATGACAGAGAATCCATTGTCCGCACAGATCACGCGACCCTTCAGTACTCCTTGCAGGTTGATCAACCTTCTGGCCAACTTTCGCGTTGGCTTGAAATTTTACAGGAATACTCGTTCTGTGTGATATATTGGAAAAGGGTACGGCATTGCAATGCTAACGCGTTGTCCCGGTTGCCTCAATCGTCTAGCTGTAGCTGTACATATTCGACCGGTGCGGGCCATTGTTAACCTCCGACGGCGAGCTCAGCTACTGTCATGGCAGTGTTCAAGGATGCTGAGCCCGCCCAGGTGTTGCACCTGCAGATATTGTTTTGCACCTTACGCGCTTTGAATGGGTTCGAGAGCAATTGGATGATAATTCCCTGACGGCCTTGCGGCGTCGTGCGGAGTTGGAACAAAAGGCTCCCGCGCCTGCTGACGGGCCGTGAATGGTCCTTCAGGATGTTATACCGTTGTTGTGTTGTCATCCCCACTGCCCTTCGAGGTAAATCGATTCAAGTGGTGCACGAGGACAAGTTGTTGCATCTTGGGGTCCGGAAGACGTTGCTAACGCTGTAGCATGATTATTATTGGCCAGGTATGTCAAGTGATGTGTACCACTTGGTCCAAGGGTGTAAAGGCGTGTGCTCATAGGAAACGGCCGCTGAGGAAGGCCCAACCTCCACTGCAATCCATTTCGGTTTCAAAGGTTAACGAGTTGGTAGTGCTTTATATCTTTGGGCCCTTCCCAGCCACTCAAAGAGGGAATAGATTTCTCTTGGTGGGGGTTGAGCATTTATCACAATGGCATATGGCTTGGCCACTGCCTGACCAGTTGGTGGCTTCGATTGCTGAGGGTTTTTGTATGGATACGTAATTAGAAAGTGCGCCCCTGAGCAGTTGCTCACTGGTCAGGGGCAGAATTTCTCGTCAACTGCTGCACAAGGTCTGTGACGTTTTGGGCACTAAGAAAATTAGAACGTCGCCGTACCACCCTCAGACAGACAGGATGGTCGAACATCTGAACAGGACTTGTCCGCCATGCTCTTTCAGACGGTGGATGCCAAACAAGCTGATTGCGATTTGCATGTGCCGAGCATGTTCGCTGCATAAAGGCCCCGCACGCTTCCACGGGATTTTCGCCATTTTTCCTTATGTATGGGAGGGAAAAACGTGCCCCCTATAGACACCCAATTGGGAGCGCCGATTGGGTACGCAAAATCTACACTGCCGGAACATGTCCGCGATTCCTTGCGGCGTATTTCTGAGGCCCAGGAAGCGGCTAGAGTCAACACTGCCAAGACACAATGAATGTCATGCACGCAGGTCTGGCCGTGACATGCCATGGTCCGTTGGTGACAGGGCTTGACTACATTGCCCTCAGGTGCCCGTTGGCACCTCACCTAAATTACATAAGCCCTGGCACGGACCTGTGGAAGTGGTTGAAATCAAACGTCCGCAATGTGTGCGTATCCGGGCGGGCCGCCGTCATTGGTTGGTCCACTCCTCTCGATTGAAACCATTTATTCCCCCGAGTGTTGCTTCCTCATCTCCAATAATTGGACTGACGTGTCTGACTGACCGGGGGCAGTGCGGTTACAGGGTGATCCCCCGACGGAATCTGTTTTGCCACCCACAGCCTTCCGCTCCCCTGTCGCCTGTCCTGCCGCCCGGCGTGCCGACCGGGGAGGAGCGGGATGCAGCTCCCGTCGATGGTCCAGCATTGTGGACTCGCTCTAAAATGCTACGGTTTCGTTGAATTCGCCCATGTGTTGTTTTTCTCTTCTTGCGTTATGGGATTCGTCCCTTAATCTTTTATTCCCTTGTTATGGATTCTTGTTATTATTGGGTTCTCGTCCTACTTGGGTGTAGCCCCTACGAACACTCACCACGAGTTCTCCTGTGTTCGCATCTCTTCATTACTTACATTGGTTTTATCTCTAGCCGGGATGGCTAGTCTTTTTATTAAAGGGGAGGGTGATGTAATGAGAGAGCGCCATCTAGTGGGTGCCAGTGGGTAACTGTATGGGCACTATTGGGTAATCGGCATCCAATCCTAAGCGGGGATAATATCTGGGCCAAAGGTGACGGGCGGAGTCGGAGATGTTCGGGAACCATCGGGAATGTTCCACGAGGGGGCATGGCTAGAGGCGGAACTCAGGTCCGCTGGGGGGAATATAAGCAGAGGCAGGGGAAGACTCTTCTCCCCAGCACGCCGCCAACCAACAGTGGGATCTGAGAGAATGGCGAACCTCGTTAGTGGGACGGAGAGAACGCCTCGTCCACAGCATTGATAAAAAGGGAAATTACCTGGAGAGGGAAGGAGTGGAGCTGTGCAGTACTACAGTTTAATAAAGAAGCACCATTACAAGAATCGTCGTGGAAGTAGTTTATTACAATAGAATATATCGTCTCTATAATAGCACTAACTTCACAGAGTGTAGTGGTGAGGCCTAGTCCTGTGCAGAGCCCTCGGCCTCGCCTCGGCCTCGCCTAGATTGCGCAGCCGGCCAAGGTGGCAGTTTTGCAGACTGGGGCTGGGCTGCTACCCCACCCCCCCACCACCCCTTGCCTGCTCTACAATAACAGTATCTACGGGCTATAATAGTAGTATCGACTGACCCTATAGTAGTAAGTGCACACATTGGGGTGAGGAGGAGAGAAGAGGACATCACACTTTGAATAATTTACTTCAGTGTTGTGTGTACTTTTTAAGCATTTTTTACGCGAATGGGAATTTCCCCCTCTCCCCACCGATTGCGTGTGTGCGTTGCTAGGGCAACCACCAGTCAGCGTTTCACACATGCGCAGATGTGTGCTTTGGCGCGCGCTCAACGATTAATATAATAAATAATAGAACTTCCTGATGACGAACGCTTGTGTTGCGATCGAAACATCGTAGTTTTTAAATTTTTGTTATTTTCTTTGAACCTATCTACGTGACTTTACCGAAAGACCCAAAGAATAGTACTAAATTGTTAATTTAACTATTTAAGTTGACGGATGTGAAATACGAATAGCACTGGCTTACCACGGGGCTTATAATATGTAGTGACATTGAATGAGTCACTGTAGCGCGTGCCGCTGGGAGATTAGTAGACAATGGAATTAGGGGTAACAGCCCGTTCTACCAGTTGGACCTATGGGCAAGGCACAGAGCCATCTGGGGGATCCAGAAGGGTGCGGGGCCGAGGGCGGAGCCTGGCCACGCTGGGCAGGATAAAAGGCAAACTCCGACTCACAGTCGGGGCTGCTGGGATCTGGAATGGAACTCGTTGTGCCATCGTCGTTATGATCTTCACCCTCTTCAAGCTGTGGATCTGGCAGCATGTTGGCTGTACCGACCCGGTATGTAGTTATCCCCTAAGGCTGTGATGGCCGGAATAAATGGGAGAGAGTACCTTCTACTAGTGTCTGTGAATTAGTTTACTACATTTGGTGTCAGGAGTGTTAACAAAATTTTTTATTTTTTAGATATATTGTAGGGTTGTTAGGAATTATCCTTTCCAATCCTTGAGGGGGATATAGGCTATTTCGAAGTTCGCTAAGAGAATGGTCCTCATCGGCATGTCCACGAGTGAAGAAGACGATGGTGATGCGGGTTCTCAGGCAGCCCTGGCAGCCAGGACCCCGGTGGGGGGGTCCCGGAGAGGCGGTCCCGGGTGGGCAGAGGGCGAAGGACGACGATCCTGCGACGCAGCCAGCTGAGGAAAGGCTGCGGGCACTCAGCGCGCGCATCGTGGAGCCGCTCTCTGCAGTGACGGCGCTGGTGGGGCAGCTAGGTAAGGAAGAGCGGGAAGAGGGGGCTGCGACTCGGGGGCAGCGAGCGGGTGACTCCGCTGTCACTGCCGACCAAGGGCAGGAATTGAGTCCCGCCGAATGTAACCTGCCGCCGACAGCTCATCCGGGGGCACCTTCCCTCCCATAGCGCTGCCGTTTTTCAAATAATTTTCGGCTGGGCGGTCTTCCGGCGGCGGTTTGCCGCCACTTGCGAGCTCGCGGGGTTGTCCTATGCGGAGGCACTACGGATTCTTCCCACGGCACTGGACGACGCAGCCTTGTCGGCGTTTTTTTCCATTCCCGAGGTGGACAGAATGACGCTGCGTCAAGCGTACGCCCAGTTGGCGGCAATTTTTGACCCTCCGTCCAACGCGCAGTGGAAATTCGTGATGCGGAGTTGGGGGGAGACCGAGACACCCGTCGCCTTCCGCAGCACACTACTGTTGCTGGCCCAGGATGTGTACCCAAGGAGGGAGCGCGCAGGACTGGATTCTCTGGTGCTAGAGAAACTGTTGGTGCTGGCTCAGGAAATTAAAGTTTTTTGCCGGCCAAAGAGGAGGACGACCTGTCCTCGACTCAGGTAGCCTGATGCATCCAGGCACACTGTAACCTGCAACGACGTGCCGGGGTGGCAGCCGGGGCTAGATTTCCGGGAGAAGAGGGCATCCAGGAGTGTCGAGAGTCTCCTTGGGTCTGCGCGTCGGGTGGTTAGATCCCGCTGGGGAGAGTCGGACCGAGACGATGACGGGACCAGCGGGGGGCAACCTTGCCTCCGCCATGGCGGTGCCCCGTTACCTGCTTCGGGTGTGGCCTACCTTACCTGGTGGTAACAAGTAAAGTACAGGATTGCCAGACAGGGTGAGGTATAATGGGTGGTTCGACCACCTGGGCCACTTCGGTAACCAAAAAGGCCTGTCTGGACTCACCTGGAAACGCACTGGCTAACGGGGCTCTGGTTAGCCACTTAGGCTAAGGGAGTAAACCCTAATAAAATCCCGGGTAGATACCAAGTGGCCAATGGCCCACCTCGGTGGGGTGGATGAGCTATGGTCCAGATGGCCAACGGCATATGGCGGAGGAGCCACTGGATGTCTGGTGCTTCAGGACAAGCCTTCCAATCATCTTGGTTTTCTGCCTCGCCATTGGACCCAGGCGTGGTTCCTGGTTAAGCCCCGTGTGGTAGCTGGTGTGCAACAGACACTGCATGTAAATTAATTCACGCACTGGCACCCTCCAGGGAAACTGTGCCATAGCACCAACACACTACACACCCAAAGCCCTTGGGCAATTGGCAAGTGGTGAGTGGGGCAGGCCTATGCAGCTAGAAGCTCCTAGTCACAACCCAGCACCAAGGCAGCAGCTATTAGAAGGTCGTTATGCACGCGGATTAGGCAGGAGTGCATCCCGACAGCTGTGGCTGTGACTGAGCAGCCCACCAGGATCCACTCTGCTCACCTTCAGTTGGGGAGGGGGCTAGAAAAGGTGCCATAAACATAGCCTGCCTTAGCAACATCCTGTCTGGCTTACTGCGACCAGAGGGAGCATCAATAATTGCGGTCGAAACAAAAATAAATATAACCTAAACATTGGATCCTGGAATGTCAGGACCCTCACAGACAACCCAAACTCGCAACATCCAGAGCGCCAAACAGCTCTTGTGGCACGCGAGCTGAGACGATTTAATATCCATATTGCCGCCATCAGCGAAACCCATCTGGCGGATGAAGGCCAACTGACCGAGCGAAGTGGAGGCTACACCTTCTTTTAGAAGGGTAAACCAGCGCATGAACGACGCCTGGATGGTGTAGGGTTTCCAATAGACAACTTGCTCATCAGCAGATCAAGTGAGCTCCCAATTGGTATCAATGAGCGTTTTATGACCCGGCACCTGAACCTCACAAAAGACCAACATGAACCATCATCAGCACCTATGCACCACCACTGGACTCTGAAGAAGACACTAAGGAGACCTACTACAGCCAACTCAACCAAATCCTTCAAAGTACACCAAAAGTAACAAGCTGATTTTCCTCGGCGACTTCAATGCTTGAGTTGGGAGAGACCATCAAATGCGGAACGGTGTCATTGGTAAAGAGGGAGTTGGAAAGTCCAACTCCAATGGTCACCATCTTCTTACAACCTCTTCTGAGCACGACCTGACAATCACCAACACACTATTCAGGGAGAAGAATAGCCTCCTAGTGCCACCCTCGATCACACCAATCGCATTTACTGGACTACGTGATTGTTAGGAAGCTTGACAGCACAGATGCCTGCATCACTCATGATCAATGCAGACGATTGCTGGACTGACCACAGACTAATTCGATCAGTGATGATTCTCAAACTAAAACATAAACACAACCGACCAAAACTACAGAGGAAAAGACTCAATGTAACCAGACTAAAAGACCCAGCGGTACAGGCCCGACTGAAAGAACAACTAGCTCAAAGAGTCAGCACCAACCATGCTTCAGGAAATGTTAATGAGTACTGGACATAACTGAAGATGGCAGTTATAACTAGCTGTGAAAAACCATTGGCTACACAAGCAGGAAAAACTGTGACTGGTTTGATGACAACGACCAGGAAATCACAGGCCTCATTGACAAGAAACGGAAAGCATTCATCGCCTGGCAACAACACAAACAGTCTAGATAGAAAAAACAATCATATAAGGAGGTCAAGTCGGAAGTACAAACTAAAATCTGGGAACTGAAGAACTGGTTCAGAAACAAAACAGAAGAAATACAACATCTTGCAGATTCCAATTACCCATATGAATTTTTTAAAGCAACCAAAGTCTTATATGGGCCATCAAAACAGGGCCTTGTACCACTTCATGAAAAGGATGGGACAGAAATCTTCAAAGACAAAAATGAAATCATCTCCCTCTGGCAGGACACTTCAGCACTATTTTCAACTGCAACACTGTTGTAGACGCTTCTATATTCAGTGAGATTCAGCAACACTCTACTACTGAGGATTTAGCTGGAGAACCAACGATGCTTGAAGTGGCTAAAGCTTTCAAGCAAATGAAAGAGAACAAAGCTCGTGGGCTAGACCAGATTCCTGCTGAGATTTACAAACTTAGAGGACAACGCATACTAGAACACCCTTCTTTGATTTGACTAAAGCTGGAGAATCCTTCTGAGATATGGCTGCCCAACAAAATTTGTTAACATCCTCCGTCTGTTACATGACGGTACGAAGGCTGTCATCCTCTCTGTTGGTGAAACCTCAGAGCCAATCGAAGTAAGGACCAGTGTGAAGTAAGGCTGCGTTATTGCACCAACTATTTTATCCATCTTCCTGGTGGGAATGCTTCATCTGACAGAGAACAGACTTCCCAGAGGCAAAACTATCACATATAGGACAGACGGGAACATATTGAATATCAGCCGTTTCAGAGCCGAGTCAAAAACATCAATCACATCCGTTATTGAATTCCAATATGCTGATGATGCCCAAGTCAGTGCCTGCTCAGAAGCTGACCTTCAGGTCATCGTCAACATATTTACAGATGCTTACAGCAAGATGGGTCTAACATTGAATATCAGCAAAACAAGGATCCTTTTTCAACAAGCTCCGGGAGGACACCTACCACCCCCTACAATTATTACCAACAATGCAATACTAGAAAACGTTCCCAGTTTCCCATACTTAGGCAGCCATCCCTCTAGCAATGTATTAATTGATTATGAAATCCAACATAAGATTGCCCGAGCTAGTGCTGCCGTTGGCAAACTTAAGAACAGGGTCTTTGAGGACCACGACATTACCGCCAAGACAAAAGTGGCTGTGTATAATGCTGTGATCATTCCAACCCTCTTATATGGTGCAGAAACCTGGAACACTTATCGTAAACATGTGTCCATACAACCTTAAAATGCACCTCAAGCGAAGCCACATAGATCCAAACAACTAGGAAATCTATGCTCTTGATAGATCATCATGGAGGGCCAAAATAAAAAATGGAACTCAGCATTTCTAGGCCGAGTGAAGAGAGTTGATAGCCAGAAAAAGAGCACACCACAAAGCACATACAACAGAGACAGAGGGAACAACGAGTGGGAGCTCCAGGATGGACCATCCGTAAACCCACTGTGCCAAGATCTGCAGGTCACGGATTGGCCTATTCAGCCATCTCCGGACCCATGGACAGCCAGGTCCACCTCATAACACAGACAAGTGACACCTTGAGGGAAATCATACTCGAATACGAGGGATCCCAGAAGAAAGAAGAAGACCGGGCCACATCTCCAGTGGCTGCTGTGCTGATTTGGGGCAGTTTTTCCCGGCTTCGCCATCCTCCGCCCTGCCGGCCTTCGCTTCTCTGGTCCAAAGGCAGGTCGCGATACATCACACACCTGGCCGACACAGCCACCTCATGCATCCCCATTGCAGTCGGTGTCGGGTGCACACACCATCGCCCCTCAGTGATACGGGGTATGGATATGGTGCTTCGGTGCATGATGGTTAGCCGCGGGGGGTCCAGGCAATAGACCGCGTTGGCACACCATATCATGGCGGCGGAAGTGGGATCATATACGGTATGCGGATTTGTGCAGGGTGTTGAGAGGGCATGGCAGCATTGCCCCCAGGTGCCTGTGGGCAAATCTCCTAAATTACATAGGCCATATTTTCCACCTTATGAGGGAATTTCATCTCCACCATCTGATAGCCAGGTGTGTGATGTGGCCGACAGGGACGGACGTACGGTTACTGAAGTTGCGTCTCTGCGAGACTCTGTTCCTCCATCCGCAGGATCCCAGAGCTTGACGCCCATGGAACCCAGCGCATAACTTGACAGGAACACCACAGTGGAAGGCGCGCATATGAACAAATAAAAAGCGCTTGATACGGTTTTGGCGTATATTTCCGGTAACCGGTTATGGCTATTTCAGTAGCGGCTGGGAAAATATCGATAGGTTTAATGAGGTTTCCACAAGGTACTGGGCAGCACAGAAGATACAGGACAAGGCCACGAGATAAGGTAGAGATGCCGATTGGGATATAAGGGGACTCGGGGGCAGCAGCTCAGCATCGTCTTGCTCACGAACCACAGAGAAACATGCACGGGCTCATCCTCGCTCTTCTCGTGGGTGTCGCTGGTGAGTTCCTCCCGAGTCTGTGTGTCTTTGTCTGTGTGTGTCTCTGTCTTTGTCTTTATTTGTCTCTATGTGTGTCTCTGTGTGTCGGAAGCGATAGTGCAACGGTAAGCATGCTGCGCTACGAACCCAGCAACCTGAGTTGGATTCTGACGATTATCTAAACCGGTCTTGGTCTCTCCTAGGTCGACTCAGCCTCAAATGAGTACCTGGTTCGATGTGTAAACATCGCCAGCCTTTTCATAGGTGCTACTCGCTAACATCACTTGGCCAAACAGTCTGTTCAGTCTAAACTAGGGATGTTTGCCTTTGTCTCCGTGTGTGTCTGTGCCAGCCATCATAGATGCTCGCTGACAGCAATTGCTCCAACAGTCTGTTAAGGCTATACGGGGGATCTTTGTCTGTGTCTTGTATAAGTTTGGGGAGCGGTAGTGTAGCAGTTACCGTGCTTCACTACAAAACCGGTGACTCGAGTTCGATTTTGAGCTCACGACCAAACATTAGTGGCGAGCGATGTGATCCAAATTATTTTGGTGCTATGAAGAATGGCCATTGTCCAAAACGTCGTCTATGATATATTTTCCTTTTAAGACAGAACCCCGAATGACCAGCGTGGTGAAGAATTGTTAAACAACCGCCATTTATGTATGTTGAACTTCTTTTGCACCGTGATAAACACAAAAAGCAGTTTTAAAGAAACGACCAACACAGAGTGGGGAGGACTTCATTCTGCATTCGATTGACAAGGGGCTGAATATTATTATCATTGTATCACTATAATTAAAACAATATCTTGTCGTGGATACATAGAGAGCAGCAATAGTGGTGCAGCTGTCGGTACGCTGTGCTATCCTGCAAGGTTGCACAACGGCTGTCGCCCATTTGTATCCGATTGACCGCAAATCCAAAAAAGTTGTCTCGCCTCATCACCGATGGCTTTCACTTTTACTCATTTAGCCTCACCGGTAAACGCTACTTTTTAGCACGCTAGGAGAGACGGTGAGGAGCGAGATGGTGATGACGATGGTGTCGATTATAATCGTCCGATTAGCTGGGTTGACTACGTACGGTACGAAAAGAAGTTCAACATACAACGCCATAGCTGTCAACCCGAACGGTTTATCCCGTATTTGTGTACAGGGAAATTGAGTTTTCAGGTCCATACGGCGGACTTGCCATTTCAAAACGGGAAAAAAAAAATGTCTATTTGTTTGTGTTTCTCCCTTGTGATGGGACTTTGTCGGGTGAACATTAAGATTTATAAAGGGCACGGTTGACTAATAAGGTCTGAATTGGTCAGTAATAAAGTAGACACTGACAAGGGGTTGACAGGTATTCAACACACATACGTCTGGCAATGACAGTGGGGTGATGGCGTTGATAATAGTTGTGCAAGCGATAAATATTATTTATAATAATACAGTACTATGATTTTAATACAGCTTAATACTGGTAGGAACCTCCTGGTTACACCAGCTCACAGGGGATTATTGTGTCCGTTTGTCCATCGTGCATGCAAAAATGGGAGGGGTGGGGCTGGGTGGAGAGGGGCTGGGTGAGGAGGGGAGGGTGGGGAGGGGCTGGGTGGGGAGGGTGTGGCTGGATGGGGGGTGGGAGGGGTGGGGCTTGGTGGGGATGGGCTTGTCACCCCGTGGTGCCCTTATAAAACTCAACGTTTAACCTACTCACGCCGGCTTGTGCCCGCCCTCACAGTCGGGCATATTTGTGGAATACACCACGCTGCCGTTGATCCTGGCCATTGACCGAGCAACCCAACGTTCCTACCAGCTCCCTCCACAGGAATGTGTTTCATGCAAATTGCTACTGTTGAATGTGCAAAGCGCCTTTGGCACAAAGACCCAGGGGAAACCCACAGACAGACGTGTGGGAAAGCAGAACAGATGCCAACAACTTCCCAATCTTTGTGGTCCCACATTGGGGTGTTCGAGCAACTCCAATGTTGGCGATGATTGGGATGTTGCTAGCAGTGAGACTGCTTTCAATGAAGACAACGACGACGACGATGATGAATGTTGGTGGATGCAAGTGAATGGCCCTGGACATACATCGACACGACTGTGTGTGTGTGCTGGCCACCCACCCCCTTGTGTGCCGTGCCGGCCTTCATAGGTGCTCGCTAATAACACTTGCCCCAACAGTCTGTGAAGGCTCTACTGGGGGATCTTTGTCTTTGTCTGGCAGCGGCGGCCCCATACATGTATGAGGACCACATCGTGGGTGGTTCCGAGTGCGCTGCCCACTCGCAGCCGTGGCAGGTGTCCCTCAACATCGGATACCACTTCTGCGGAGGCTCCCTGATCAACAGCCAGTGGGTCGTGTCTGCCGCTCACTGCTACCAGACGTGAGTGCGCTGCGTGCGGACAAGAGCGGATCTCTTCGCTGTGTGCGTGTCGGTGACTGGGAGGCTGAGGGGGCAGAGATGGGGCTGCTATCTAAATTACACGAAAATTTCTGCATGTAATTTTGTTACATTTGCAATTTGCAATTGGTATCTAAATTACACACCTCAAAAAAAATTGGTCATTCGTAAATAAATTACATAAGTCAGAAATCTGAATGCGTTTTGTCCACCTCTGTGTGTTGGCGTGATGTTCTTGTGGGGTTTTGCCGAGCCACGGCACTGCAATCTCCGTTACCCATATTACATCTCTCAATGGGCACTGAGGTGTTGCTGAACTCCCGTTAACAAAATTTGAACCAGTGGTGTAAATTCCACATTCCTAATTTCGTGGGCGAGTCTCTCCACAGGAAAATCACCCTACAAAGTAGTAGCAATGTTATCAATCTCAGAGGGGAGATGGGCCAAGTGAACCCCCAACCGTAATTTTGAACATGAAGCGTTTTGTTTGGGAAGACAATCGTTGTGCCCAGTGTGATAGCAGTAGGGAATAGGAATAGCGGAGATGAGATGCGACGTTAGGCGCCGAGTTGCGAAGTGATTTAAGAGCCGTATAAATGCAATTCCTCATCATTATCCTCGTCCCTCTGCTTCTCCTCCTCCAACCCCAGCGCGTCCCGCATCTCCGTGCGCATCGGCGAGCACAACATCTTCGTGAACGAGGGCACCGAGCAGCAGATCCAGGCCTCCAAGGCGATCCAGCACCCCCAGTACAACTCCTGGACCATCGACAACGACATCATGCTCATCAAGCTGTCCTCACCCGCCACCCTCAATCAGTACGCGCAGGCCATCGCGCTGCCCTCCTCCTGCGTCAACACCGGAGTCATGTGCACCATCTCCGGCTGGGGCGAGACCCAGACCAGCGTCGGTGAGGTCGCACTGCGCTCACCGCCCCCCACCCACCCCCCTTCTCCCCCTTCTACTACGGCAGAGACGTGAAGGGAAACACGTTCAACATCTGCCCCTATGCAAATCGGTAACGTCCTTCTAATGTGGAGAGAGAAGTTGTTTACTCGTTAACGCAGCCACATCACGATTGGGCCGTTACAATTACTTGTCGAGTATTGTTACATGCAGTGGGAAACCGGAGTGCCTGAAATGAGGGGATTACACTTAAAAACCTAATCTTGGATATATCATTATTGTACAGCACTGGCATAAAGGCCCGAAACGCCAAGCGGCCAGCAACACACCGCACTACTGAAGACGTCACGAACGAGAGTGAATACGTTTTCTCGAATTGAGCAACGTAGCGAGAGACACTGACAGCGAATTCCTAAGCTGCAGGCGGTGTTTTGACTCCGCAGCATGACAAGTTCGACGCGTCAGTGGCGGGGTGCTGCCCTGTGCCGCGTGCTCGGCCTCGCCACCTCTTCAACCGGCGTTGTCTCCCCCCACAGGCAGTCCCGACGTCCTCATGTGCGTCCAGGCGCCCGTGCTGAGCGACACCTCCTGCAGGAACTCCTACCCCGGTGACATCACCAACAACATGATCTGCCTGGGATACCTGGAGGGCGGCAAGGACTCCTGCCAGGTGAAACGGCGACATCGAAGCCGAAGGAGCTCGCTTCGATCGGAGACAGATTCGAGGAACGGAGGGTTTCGGGAATCGCAGTGCGACTATAATTTGGGTTTATATCGTTTCACGTAAATATTCTGCGCAAGAAGTAGTATACGGTATTCATATAAAACGTGAAACAATGAAAACAGGTAGGATGTGTTTTATGTTTATTTTTATTTAAGCCTAGCCTGGAATTTGGCAGCAAAGGATGGCCAGGGGGAGGGAATTCCAGACTCAAGCTACCAGAGGAATTGGTGAAAATTGTTACAGGTGATTTGCTTTTTGAGTACAATCATCATTGTGTGACCACACATTGCATACGTTGGTAACATGTTCAAATGTGCATTGACAGAATTGCACCCATTTGAAACATAAATACGACGTTCACTTGCTACTCCCTGGTCTCTTATGCTAGTAAAGTTCAATCAATTTCCTGCTGCAATGACCATTGAGCCACTGGTGCTCACCTCACATTTACAGCCCTGAGCCTGGTGAAAAAGTTATTGGGCAATCACCATTGACTTTCTCAGAGAAATTATGGGATGAGTCAGAGTCAGAATTTTTACTTTTGCTGGAGGAATCCGATGAGCTATAAAACTCTCTTTTGTCAGATGTCCAGTCGGGGCCGGTCAGAACGTTACAACAACAAACAATACAAAACACCGGTTTAACATGTAGGCTTTCGCGATCAAAATCATCCATATTATACGTTTTTGGGGGTTAGATCGTGGATATAACAAAAAAAACCTGTATTAATACAAACCACGATAGCAACCTCCAACCAGGACTTGAACTCGCAAAACCTTACGATTGACAGCTTCTTGCTCTACCGCTGAGCCACCGGATGCAGGAGACAGCTGCTAACCCCCGACCCCCCTGACCCCTGTTGCTGCCGCCACCGCAGGGAGACTCCGGCGGCCCCGTCGTGTGCAATGGCGAGCTGCAGGGCATCGTGTCCTGGGGCCGTGGTTGCGCCCTGCCCAACTACCCCGGCGTGTACACCAAGGTGTGCAACTACAACGCCTGGATCGCGCAGACCATCGCGGCCAACTAAGCGTGGATCTGGCAAACTACTCTTCACCGCGACCATAACGATGATCATGACAACAATTCTTATGGTGTAACCAAATGAATAAAAATGTGAACTAATCATTTATCTTGGTTTCTGTGTTTTTTTGTGAGCTTGTTTTTATGGGGTATGCACTTATTTAAAGTCAATTTCACAGTTTGTTGACTTTAAAAGCCAACAAGGCAGCTCCGAGCCAGTGGTGTAAATTCCACATTCCTATGATGGATCAAGTCTATCCATAGGACAACCACTGTTGACATTCGAGTCGAATAATGAGTCAATCCCCAACCAGGAATTGAACTCCCAAACTTCTAGATTGTGAGCCACTCACTCTGATGCTGGATACTATGGTGATGATGTATTGGTTAGTACATTGTATTCTGAACCTGGTCACTTTATAGAGGTCTTTTTAGGTTAGATCGCGTAAATATAAATGTGTCGTTAAACCCACCAACACCCGACACAACCACTTAGTAAGGCGTGTCACTTAAATATGCCAATTCGTTCAGCACTAACCGGTGTGTTAGACCGTTTTGAGTAGTTTTTCCACTACTTCATCAACATGCTCGTCATTGGCATTCCGGACGTACACTGCTCGTGGAAATGTGGAAAAAGTGCGATTTTGATTAAAATAAAGTGAAATTCTTATTCAAGTACTATTTGTTCGGGGCGCCTTAGGCGCCCCCGAATAATAACATTTCAGGCCTTCGTCCAGGAAAGTCACAAAATTTCCACACGAACGACGCATTCCCGCAAGCACCCGATGCTCCGTTTAGAAGTTATATTATTCATCATAGAAAAAGTTGGGTGCTTACCAACGTAATGGAACATCTGTCCCTGCAACTTATTTATTGTGATAGCATATGCGGGGAGAATGGGAAATTTTTGTCGCAAAACAAATGGCAAAGTCGTGTTGGTGGGAGCCAAGTCGATCATGGGAATCAACACCGAATCACCTCGTTCGCCCTCTCTCAAGCAATCATCGTATTAATCATAGAAATGTAGATAAAGTAGTGCGCTTACCAACGTAATGGAACGTCTGTCCCTGCGACATGTTTGATAGTGATAGCGTATGCGGGGAGAATGGGAAATTGTCGTCATTGCAGAACAAATGGCAAAGTCGTGTCGGTGGGGGCCAAGTCGATTCTGGGAATCGACACCGAATCGCCTCGTTCTGCAGATCGATTCCAACGTAATCGAACGTCTGTCCGTGCGCCTCCGTCGTTCAAACCTACGCGGTTCCTGCATGAGTACGACGGGAAGCGCCGCGTTCATCACAGATAAAGTTAGGCGTTTATATATATAGAAGATAGGGTCATTCTAATTTGAGCTTCATGTGATTCTAATGCACAAGTACAGCCCCATTGTACTACAAGCAGCCTAAATTGTATGACAAGGTCGGTGTGCTTTCTTGTGGTGGTTTCGCCAGCACCAAACCATCGCACTTCCTGAATTTCTCTATCCCCAGCAGCATTTACTGGAAGGTGGCAGGAAGGTGGCAGCCTGGCTCCCTTGTGGCTCAGAGCCTCACTGGAAATCCACTCCACAACACTCAATGTACAGGGTGAGAAGCTGCCCACAGTCTGGAACCAGGTGACTATTCTAGATTTGAAGCTTTCGTGACTGCAAGGATCCATACTCTTTGGTTCTATTCGGTAAAGTCACGTAGGTAAAACATAATGACATCCTTCCCATCCGTGAAGTATGTCATTCCTGACTTACAGTACCCCGGGGTTTACAACTTGAGCTGCACTTGTGGTGATTGCTATATCGGGGAGACGAAACGACATGTCTCTGACCGAATTCGCGAGCACAAATCAGATTTGAAACACGGCAAAACGAATTCTTCTGCCATAGCTGATCATTGTTACAACGCTGTGGGTGATCACGATATAATTTTCTCCGATATCAAGGTCCTTTGCAAACCGACAGGTTATCAGAGATTTGTCCACGAGGAAATTCAGATTTACAAACACAGACACAATTTAAACCGAGAGGATGGTTTCAAATTAAGCAACCATTGGAAAGATTTTGATTTAAAGCTTTCGTGACTGCAGTAATTCATATTCTTAGTTTTTTCGGTAAAGTCACGTTGAAGGGAAACAACAAAATAATAATATATATATAAAACAATAAAAACATTCTCACGACGTTTCGACCATAACTCAAACGGTCGTCTTCAATTTAAAAATAAATTTATGCAAACCAACACACCTGAAGACGACCGTTTGAGTTATGGTCGAAACGTCGTGAGAATTTTTGTTATTGTTTTATATATTTTATTATTTTGTTGTTTTCCATTGGAAAGATGTTCTAAATCGAACCAAACATTAAACTAATTTTCAATGGTACAGTATATTTATTCTAGTAGTGGCACTCCAAACTTCCAGGGTGGTGTATTATCATCTTGTGCTAATTCCAAGCGTTGTTAGTGGCGTGTTTTATGCTAATTTCCTTTTCAAGGCGTTTGCCGTTTACCCCCTCACAGCTTAAAAGGAGGCGACCAGCGCTTAGCTTGCTTCACTCCAACGCTGTCCACTGGACAGTCTGGTCCCTTCACCTGATGAAGGCCACTTGTGTTGTGGCCGAAACGCCGTGATTTTTGTTATTTTATTTTTTACCTACGTGACTTTACCGAATAGAACCAAAGAGTATGGAACCAGGTAACTCTTTGCTTGGTGGCCCCGTGGTCCCCCCCCCCCACCAACTCAGTCGGGTATCTCCAGACCACACACTGCAGGCACCTGGTTGTCTCAATCCCTCCGGCCTGGTCTCATCTAGTCCTTAGGTCCATTCCTTGGCAGTCACCAGAGGAGCAAAACAAAATTGAGCAACGTTCTTCCACCCAGCAACACCTGGAATACAAATTGAGTTCCCTACCATACCCCTTTGGATGCAAGTGCCAACTGAGTGAACATTTCAATGCCATTACCACTCCGACTCAGTGCTACTCACATTACCTACGATAATCACCCATAAATGTCTGTCCGTCCCGCGCGTGACGTCAATCCACATGAGGCCCATCCCCCCTCATTAATATTCATGAGTGGGTGGATTTTTACCCGAACGCAGAGGAAGGTCGAGCCGAATTAAATAATTTCTTATGCAAAGTCGCTTCAAATATGACGTTTCTTTACAGAAAGTGACAGTAATAAATCTACGCAGCACAGTGCTACATCCGTGCGTGACGTCACTTCAAAAGAGCCCCCCCCCCCCGTCATTAATATTCATGCCCGCGTGGAAATTTACACTAACGCACAAGGACGCGCACTCCACATGCCGCACCCCTCCACAATAACCATGAGGGGGTGACGTCACTCCACATGTCGCGTCCCTCACCAATAACCATTAGCGGGTGACGTCACTCCACATGGGGAAATAATCATGAGCTGAACATTTTTTTATTGAATTTTTCAGATTTACTGCAATATACACCCGTCCTCAGACGGCCAAAAAACCTAGTGGGATATCACCAGCCCAGGTTTAACCGAAGGTGTCCCCGTCCACAGTATGCTTTGTTTCAGAGGAATAACTTACAGAAAGGTCACCACAAACACCCACCTCCTCGCTGGTGTCAGAAGACAATACTGTGGTGTCTTGGGGGGGGGGGAGGGAGACTAAGAGGCTGATGCATATTAGCTGTTCCCCTCATGGCACGCACAGCCATCACAGTAGCCAACAGTAACACCGCATGGATATTATCAAAATAAGATTGTGCCAGAGGCCCGCGGAAGGAACAAATGTCTCAGATGTCTTCTGACGAAACTCAATTTAGTGGAGCCAGGAGGCTCAACTCTGCACCTTTGGGGTGCCAGAACAATAGGAATCCATTTTCTTGGTTCTTTCGGTAAAGTCACGTAGATAGAAAAAAAAAACTAAAAAATTAAAATTAGACAAAATAAAAATAATAAATTGAAAATAATAAAAGCAAAAACCCACGCTAAAACATAAAAATAGTCAAATAAAGATATATATTTATTAATAAATTAAAAATAATAAAAGCAAAAAACCCACGACGTTTCGATCACAACACAAGCAGTCTTCATCAGGCGGAGAGAAAAGAGGGGGCAAGCCTCCAAATGTTACTGCTTATAAGGGTTCCAAAGTGAGTGGGCGGGAGACAAGAGCTGCACAAGCAACACGCTAATGCAGGAGCAAATTAAGGGGGGAGTTGGGAGGAGGTGAGCTTGTGCAGCGCAAACAGCATGGCAGCCAGTCAGCCAGCGTTAATATAGGAGCAGACAATGGGGGGAGGAAGGAGGGCAGAGACAGGGGGAGAGAGAGGGGGGGCATTGCACCTCGCTACACACATCCACACTGCTGATGGTAGAGGTTGACAAGAAAACACAAATCGAGTCATGACCCAAAGTGGTTGATGACATCTTTCCAATGATTGCTGAGTTTAAAACCATCATCTCGGTTGAAATTGTGTCCGTGTCTGTATATATGGATGGCTTCGTGAACTAATCTTTGTTGATAGCAAGTTGCCTTGCAAAGTACCATCGTCTTAGAGAAATCAATTTCATGTGAGCCAGCCGCATTAAAGAAATGATCAGCCACAGCAGAAGTATTGGTCCTGCCGTGTTTCAGATCTGCCTAATGTTCACAGACACGGTTCAAGACATGTCGTTTAGTTTCCGCAATGTAACTACTGCCGCAGATACAGCTTAGTTTGTAGACGCCGGGATGTTGTATGTTAGGAATCTTGTCCTTCACAGATGGGATCAGGTCACGAATTTTATGCACTGTGTTAAATCGGACCTGGATCTTGTGTTTGTTCATGATTTTGGAAATATTTTTGGTTACCCCTGATATGTATGGCAGGGTGTTGGTTTTGATTGGATCTTCAGATGGCTCCTTCCTCACGGTTGGGGTGATGGCTTTGCGGATTGTGTTGTCAGAATATCCATTCGCCTTGAGAGCCCGTTGAACGTGTTTGAGTTCACTGGTCAGGTGTTCATGGTCGGAGATACATTGAGCTCTATGGTGTAGCGTTTTGATGAGGGAATTCTTCTGGGATGGATGGTGGTGGGAATCAGGTTTTAGGTAGGCGTCAGTATGGGTTACTTTCCTGTAGACAGAG